ACCACCACAAACATTGGCTCAAAACTCACCTATTCAGACTGGATTTTAACACTTTTTACAATTTGTTTTATTTCATTGTTTAATATTTTTATGTTTTTTATTGTACTGGTTTTATTGGAAAGCTCTTGTGGTCACCTTGAGTGATGTAAAGGGCTCTATAAATAAAGTGTGACAGATAAAAAAAACAAACAAAATGCAATTGTATAAAGGCTAGATAGATATGTTGGATGTAGGATACCGTGGAACATTTCAGAAATAACATCACCATGGAGATGAGCGTGTGTCAGAAGCCCTCCCAAAAACACTGAAAGACGCACTATGTAATATTTTTGGTGGCATGGCGGGTGTCCTTAGTCTAGTCTTAGTTCATCAGCCGGTTTTACTTCGTGGAAACCGTCTGACCTCGCAGCATTAGGATTCATTCGCTTGACAGTAGGTGCGGTACTTTTTTATTTAACCAATCGCTGCTATTTGGTCGTGACGTTTGTAATGCGCCAAATCCCGTAGGAAGAAGGGCAATAACGTCTTTACCCTTGATAAAATTCACCAAAGATTCTCTTTGTTCCGGCTTTAAATCCTCGATCTCGGGAATCGTTGCCAACACAGAATGTCTGTCTTCGTCTACATCCATCTCAACGCTTTGTTTACTGTTGTGCTGTTCCACAAAAGGGACTCAGACAGACGCTTGAGTTTGACATCATGGCTTCACAGCTCTTCACTGATTGGCCGGTGAGCGTTCTACAACTTCCGGGGTTCTTGCAAACCGTCTAGTGCAGGGGTGGGCAAACTACGGCCCGGGGGCCATGTGCGGCCCTTTAAACCTTTTAATCCGGCCCGCCGAACTGGAATAAATTACAATAATAAACCTTGTTGATGTTTTATTTGTCATGCACTTCCAGCGTTTCCCAGTAGATGGAGCACTATATATACATTGAGTTGCGGCGTTTTATGTTGGCCGCAATGCTTTATGGGAAAGTGTTCTTACAGGAGTTATTCGGACCATGAGTGAAGTAGTTGGTGCTTAAGATATAAGACTGCACTGCTTCCATTTTGAATTGGTAAAAATCTATCAAGGAAACTCTTGGGCTGAAATTTGTACTTAATAATGTGTACATCATTTTGGAGTCAGGTTTTATCACACTCTCAGGTGTATATCTGTGGTTGTTTGGCGTAAGCTTTGTTGTTGAGCTGTTACCTGTCGTATTTGAAAACGGTGAACTCACGATGAACATTCACTCGTGGTGTGCAGTGGAACAGGTCTCAGCAGTTTTATGTGTTCTGAATCTTTCACAGCAGTGATGAAACTTGTAGCGCGTCTGAAGTCCTAGATAAATGTGAATAAGAACATAATGAATCTGAGCTTTTAACACGTTATGTCCTGTCTTATGTCCGGCCCTTCAGTCAAACTTTAGGACCCTATGTGGCCCACGAGCCAGAAAGTTTGCCCACCCCTGGTCTAGTGTATTCAGATTCCTGACCTAGTCGCTGGAGAGAAATGAAATTGAGCACTAGGTGGCGCCAGCCTGGATAGCTGTCTTACTACCTGCTCGAGATGCTGAGATGTTGGTGCTCTGACTGGAATGTTCCACAGTACAGTATTAAACATTTATTCAATAATACATGTATTTATTTCTCAAAATAAACAGAACAACATGCATTCTTTGATGGACATTCCACCAGAAAAGTTCCATAGCGTTTATAGATGTCTTCACTCCTTGTAAATATGAATGTTGTGTAAGGTATTTTTACATGTATAAATGTTTAAATGTTCGATAGTTTGATGTTATACTGTGGAACATTTCAGGCAAACCGATAACATCGCCATGGAGACAAGCAGGTCTTGATAATTGTGCACTATGTAACTTTTGTGATGGTGTGGCAGAGGTCCTACTACCACCTCGTCTCCATGGACATGTCATTGCTTTGCCTGGATTGTTCCACCGTATGGTACTAAACTTCTCCATTTTGCCTTCATGCACTTACACATGTATTCCTTATTGCTCATTACACTGAAAAGTTACAGAGTGCATCTTTAACGTCTGAGGATAAAACCCCAGTATGTTTCTCTTCTTAAATCAGACTGATACTTATGACCCAGTGTTGTCAGGATACTAACATTTCAAACTTATTTCGATTAGGGCTGAGTATCATCGAGAAGCTGCAGATATGATACATACCTCGATACGATACGATATATTTAAAATGGTCCAATGGTTCAATTTGGTACAATAATAATGCCTCACAGCAAGAAGGTTCGATCCCTGGGTCACCTGGGCCTTTCTGTGTGGAGTTTACGTGTTTCTTCCCGTGTCTGGATGGGTTTCCTCTGGGTGCTCTGCTTTTACCCATCAACCTAAAACATGCTCCAGGTCTCCAGGAAGGTCGATTAAACACAATCAATCAGGAACTACAGGTGAAAATCAGTCCTGGTGCTACAACCTGGTACAATGCATCTCTAGTGTTTGCCTTAATGTTTATGTGCAGTCTCTGTCTCATTAAAAAATAAACTAAATCATGGCTGTGGTACTAAAAGTCTTTGTTAAACCACTTCTTGTGCAAAGTTCATATGAAACGCAAACATTTTAATCCTGAAAACCCTGAAAATGTCAAATGTGTTGCATAAATGAGTTTCCCACCTCTGAACGAGCAACAAAACTGTAAAATATAAAAAAAAATATATACTCTTGGTGATCTATTGATACAGCTGCCCACGATATCGATACTGATCATCACAATAAACGATACGATATATCAATATTTTTGCACACGCTTCCACTCACCTTATGGTTTGATATGATACTGTCAGTGCAAACGGATATGATATAATGAGGTTTCAATAATTTTGCACACCCCTAATTTCAATAACAAATAGACTATATAAAAACACACTCTTTAGATACTGAGTGGCTAGCACTTCTTGCCTCACAGCAAGAAGGTTCTGCGTTTGATCCCTTGCTGAAAAAATGGTCCGAGAGGGGTTGCTCAAATTGCAAAAAAAAAAAAAATTGACAACAATAACATGACTTTTTTATGATTCTCTGTAAAACATGTTTAAATCTTACAAACATCGCTTGATTGTGGCCGATGTGAGACCTGCATGTTTTAATCAGGTTGAGGAAACATGACTTTATTATAATCTGTGGTGAGGCTCCTCCCTCTGGAATTCTCCTCCCCAAAACTTTTGGAGGGAAAATTCAGATGTAACAGGACACAGGACAGATCCAGGAGCAGAGGACACACAGTGTGGAGCAGGAGGATTATGAAGCTGATCTGGAGGTGAGACTTTTCAAAGATTTGATATGTTTCTCTGGCCTAGAATGTCGTCATTGTTAAAACATGTTTGTGGTGTTTTATTTGAAATTATGTAAGGACTGTTTCCATGAAACAAATTGTATTTGACTGTCCATCTACAAGAGTGTGACAGTTGTACTAAGATTTGAATGTGTTTGTTCCAGAGTCGTCTACAAACAAAGAGCTCTGCTGGAGCTGTGGGGAAGATCATGAATGTTACAGCTGATGTTTCAGAAAAAGGAAGATGTTTGAGAACCAACAAACCACAGACCACAGATGAACAAAGTAAGTAAACAAACTAAAATGATTTTAAAATAATTTTTCAAAATTTACTTCTATTGAAACAGTTTTCGTGCTTCTACAGGGTGATGTGGCATTAGGAGGACTTTATATCAGATGCCCTCCCTGTTACTGCGTTTAGAGGAAGAAAAGCAGCACATGGTGAGTTTTGTTTCTGCAGATACACTTCTAATGTTCTTGTTCTTCTGTTCTGGTCCATTATTGTAGTAATAAGTGCTTTAAATATATTTAAACATGTTCAACAGAGTAGATCATCAGAATGTGATCATCATGTGTTATTCTGTGTCCACAGGCAGAGACCAGAGCTTCTTCACTGGAATAAATCTTCACATTGTCCAGCTCCAAACTGTGTGTCTCTGTACTTGTGCTCTTTGTGTTTGATTCTGTTTAAGACAATACAGACCTGTGGAAAACTAAAGACTGTTTTTGTATTCTTTTACAGAATTAGAGCGATTAAATTAAATTATACATACTTATATATTTCATGATAAGGTACCATAAGATAAATATGCATATTCAGCATGATTTGATCAAAATTCATCAACATGAAAAAGTTATGTTCATGTTCTGAGAAAAATATGTGTAGAGGGGATCGAAAAAAGTTTCAAAGCCTAAACATAATTTTATTGCATGCAACCGCTGTCCATAACTTTTTTACGCAAATCCAGCAACCTTTTTTTTCAGTGCTGGGTCGCCCGGGTCTTCTGTGTGGAGTTTGCATGTTTCTCCCCGTGTCTGGATGGGTTTCCTCCGGGCGCTCCGGTTTCCCCCATCAACCCAAAACATGCTACAGGTCTCCAGGAAGAACAGTTGATAGTCAAGGTCAATTAAATACAATCAACCATCTGATTACAGGTGGAAATTAGCACTGGTGCTAGTGGCAATAACTGTGTCCTTAGGCAAGACACTTCACCCTCGTTGCCTAGTATGAAAGTGGTGTGTGCGTGAGTGATGGTGACCAGGTATAGAGTGAATGAATAATGCTGTGTAAAGCATCTTTGTGATAAAAAATGTCTGTGAAAAGCGCTCTAAAAATAAAGACTTACTTACTTACAATAGAATGTGATTTTCAACATTAAATCATACTTTCTTATATATTCCCATGTGGTCTTACATCTGTGTAATCCTTCAGTGCTTCATGGGCGTACACTAGTCTACATGCTCTTATTCTAAAACTACTCAAAGGTTCATTTCTGTCCTGTGAATGTGACTTTTTCTAGTATGGACACCTGCTCAAATGCGTTTTCAATCCTAGTTTAGTATCTGATTTTTGATACTTTTGCCAACCCCACCACAATCTGTAACAATAATTTATGTATGAGCATTTTTTTTTGCACATGGTCAAATCTGATTGTACATTAGTGCTGAAATGTAAAAAAAAAATGCAAATAAATGCAAACAGACTGGCGTGCACTTGAATAATTTATTCAGTGGGAGATATTTCTTTAACATCTAATCTCGGCGCGTTAAGACAGACAGCTACTCCAAACAGCAGTGCCTACATGTATTATCCAATATATATATCCATATGTGTACGAGCAAAAATAAAATACAATGTTAAAAAGTTAAATATTAGTTTTCTCGGTGAAAACCTCACACACGATATGGAAGGTGATTTGTTTCATCAGATTTTGAATTTTAAATGCTGCTGAATATCTCACTTTGGATTTTTTTTTACTCTTGTGGTCATATTTGGTTTATTTTTATTTTTGTTTTGGTGGATGTTTGTATTTTTTATGGTTCTTATGTTGCTCTGTCGTCTTGTCTTCGTGTTAAATTTGGTCCATGTACCATTCGTTCTTTTGAATTTCAATTAAGAACGAAATATAGTAAAATGGAAAAAGAGTTTGTTATTTCATTATTCCATTTTTGTATCAAACAAGAAACAGATTTTGATTATTTCCAATATTTAATTTAAAGTTTAAAGTCTCAGTGCCTATTTTAATTTTGATATTTTAACCTCTCTGATTTATTTGCGATCAAAGTTCTGCTGCTCAGCCATGGATCTGTAATAAAAACTATTTTTATTATAGTTCTGTGATGTCAACTGAACAAAGGAGTTTATCGGTGCTTCTTGTTTGTCGTCATGGAGTTCAACAATTACTTTTTGAGACGCGAAAGTAAACGCGTCTCTAAATTGAAAAGATTTTTCAGGTAAGTCCTTCAGCAGCAGAACTTCCTGTGCAAATAAACCAGAGAGAACAAAATATCAGAATTAAAATAGGCACTGATTGGTGTTACTTGAAATAAACATTAAATTAAATATTGGAAATAGAGGTCGAAATCTGTTTTCTGTCTGACACCGAAACAGAATAATGAAATAAACTGTTTTATCATTTTATTGTTTTTCATTCTTAATTGAAACTCAAAAGAACGAATGGTACACGGACCAAATTCTCAATTGGGAGGAGATTATCTTATTATCTTATTTTAATCTCAAGAGGCTCTACTCACGCTTACGTCACAAACCGGGAAAACGTTTGGAAACATGCGATGACGACTTCCGGTGTAGTTCCCGACACTGAGATCACCGACCGACTGATAAAACCCACTGAAGTAAAAGTGATCAACGGTAAAATGAAGACTGCATATGTATGTGCTGTTTGGAACCATCTTGAATTTGGCGCCCTTGTCTCTTCTATTTGTGCTCGGAGTTGTGCGTCAGTGGGAGAATTATGAAAACTGAGGTGTGGTTAAAATTGTTAAAGAGCTGAAACTGGTCCATTTTCTCATTTTTCCTAGATTTCGTCAGACTTACTGCCTTAAAGAGAGCCCGCCGAAAGTTCTCATCGCATGTTTCCAAACGTCTTCCTATTTGATTGTGACGTTAATCGTGAATAGAGTCTGTAAATGAAATTGTTTGTGAACATAACTTTTTGAATATTCAGCACAAATATTTTCAAGCCCTCAATTTGAAAAGTCAAAATTCAGAGTGTAAAATTCGCAGGAAAGATTCAAGATGCCCAGGGAGAAGCAATCGATCCAAAGTGATCCGATCTAACTTAGTAACAAACGGGAAATGGTGCGGTGAAGCGATCTGATTGGTCAGAATTAGCCTCATCAAAAAAAAACTAATCTTTTTTTATTTCTTAAGTGTAAACCCCGCCCACAAATGAGAACAACCAATAGGAAACAGCCGCCTTTATCCTCCTCACTTACACATGATCGATTACTTCTGCCTTACCATCTTAGATCTTTGTTGTAAAATCTTTCCCTGCGAATTTTAGACTCCGAATTTTGACTTTTGTATGTGAACATATGTCCTGAATATTTAAAAGGTGACGAATTTTTTATTCTGAATTTGAAAAATATTGGAAAGCAACTCAAACTCAAAATAAAAAATAATTCAAACGTCTTTTTTCAGAGTTAAAAAATCCAAATTCAGACATTCAGCTGTATTTAAAACTCAAAATCAAATGGAACAAATTATCTTCCATACACACACATTTTTTCTTGCAGCAGCAGCAGCAGAAGAAGTGTATTGCATCAGTCATATATATGTTAAAAGAAACTGCTTGCTGATCCTAGGCAGATTTACAGACTGGGTTTTACAACAAAAAAAATATATATATATTCAAACGTTCCTCGACTAAAATTCTGTCTTCACGAAAGCCCTAAAAGCCGCTGGAGACAGAGGAAAGTGCAAATTTTCATTCAGTGACACTAAACAAGAGACACAAACGTTTAGATAGAGTGGTTTGGAAATAGGGCTGCACAATATATTAGAGTTTACAGTGTCTCAACTTTTAAAAGATGCATTGTGTAACTTTTCCAATGGAGGGTCTGTCAAAAGCTGTTATTGTTTTGTCTGGAATGTTTCACAGTATGGCATTAAACATTTATATCATCATGGAGACCAAACCAAAGTCACAGGTCAAGTCAGAATTCCTGTTTTTTAAAGTATTTTCGATCTATAAATCCACTTGTAACTGAATAAATGTAAGGTAGAGCTGTTTAACGTCACACTGTCACTGTTGGGCGAGTTCATTTAAAACTGTAATGCGTTATTTATTACTTGTTAATGTCATTTCAAAGTAATTTGTTACATTTAAAATTTTAAATGTATTATTTATTTAAAATGTAAGGCATTACACTATTGTATTACTTTACTAAGTTACTCTCATCAAAATAACTGTGAAGATGCTGAACTTTTGCGCCGTATATGGACTGAACCAGGACTAAACCAGAACTGAACCAGGAATAAACCAGGAATAAACCCGGATTGAACTAGGACTAAACTAGGACAGAACCAAGGACTAAACCAGGACTAAACTAGGTCTAAACCAAAGCTGAATCAGGACTGAACCAGGCCTAAACCAGAACTCACCCAGGTCTAAACCAAGTCTAAACAAGGACTAAACCAAGTCTAAACAAGGACTAAACCAAGTCTAAACCAGGTCTAAACCAGGTCTAAACCAGGACTACACCAGGACCAACCCAGGACTAATCTTGGACTAGAACTTGGAATCTAGGACCGCCTCTGAGAGAACCCCGAGCCCATGGAACAGGGTGTCTCCAAGGCGCGATCAGGAGTCAGCTGCATTTAGCTCCGTGGAGTGTGGAGTTCTGTGCCGGTCCTTTTCGCCCACGGTCACCTGACGGTCTACACGGGCGCATCTCTGGTGTTTCAACGCTGCTGATATCGCGATAATTTTAGCGAATTTGTATGAAGAAAAACCCACCACTTCAGTCCAGGTTAAAAAAGGTTTTTTTTTTCCCTATAATGCCAAACATTAGTGCGTTACAGCAAAAAGCAACACATTACAGTAATTTGTTACTTTTATAACACGTTACTCCCAATACTGCATACTGTGGAACATTCCAGACAAAGCAATGACATCTCCATAGAAACAAGCAGTTCCCTTAACAAAAAAGTTACACCGTGCACCTTTTAAACTTTCAGTACCAGAGGTGGGTAGTACTCGGTTACGTTTACTTGAGTAACTTTTTAAAGCAACTGTGCTTTTCAGAGAACTTTTCTAGCAGCGTATTTTTACTCCTACTCGAGTATTTTTTATTAAAGCACCAGTACTATTACTTGAGTAAAAGATGACAAAAGCTTTAAGTTGACAATGTGAAATTATTTGAGCGTTTGAGTTTCTTTCACAGCACCTTCAGGTATCACTTTTTAATTTACTTTTTATTTTTTTCATATCTATCCTTAAATACCAGATTATTTTCTTCCCACCTCTGAAACGTACAGTATTTCAAGTCGTCTATAATCAGTTTCAAAACAGACATTTCGCAAAGCTTTTCAAGTATATTTTCACGCTCCTTTATCGCAGATTTGCTCATTTGATTCCTGACAGTGTAATTATAATCAAGTGTGGTTAAGCTCTAATTATCGTACTGGTTTTGTTTTAGTCCTAACGCGAATAAATTAAACAGTTTAATTATATTTTAGCCCGCGTTACCCTATAGTATTAAGTTAAATTAATCAAAGAAGAAACGAAAAACAAAGTATTAGATTTTTGCTTTGAAGGATTATAGCAATTGTTGGCAATTTTTAAAAATAAAGCAAATAAATAAGGTTAAAATGTTACACGATTCTATTAAATTAAAGTACAAAATAGCAAGAATGATACGGTTTTCAGTCTGAGAGGTTGAAGCAGAATCGTTTTCCTATGACAGTCGAAATCTGAAAAATTTTGTGACGAAATAAATAAAACAAATCAGTTCCCTTTTGTTTGCTGGTCCTTTAGCCTTGTGTTAAACTTGGTCGAGTCTACGTGAGTTTTTTTTTTTTTGTTTCTTTCATCGCGGTATTTCGCAGCTCATGCCGTCAACGTTCTGGGCGATGTGATGCTAAAATTGGCGTAGGCGTACATGCAGGACACCCCCAGCGTGACGTCGTCGAACGCGGGATTTAACGTTGCATTTTTAACACATTGTGCAGTCTTATTTTAAAATGCAGGTTCACGGCAGAAGGCTAAAGAGTCTGAGACATGGAGAGAACTGTTTCACAAGACCGACGCCTCACGGAGCTGCTAACTCACGCACGCACACGCACACACACAATAATTGGACTTCACAGGCCACCGTACGCAGCAGTAGTTATGCATGGAGTATGTTCTAGAGGGGTCTACATCGCCACGGAAGCGTCCAGCTCTTTGGGTCGGTTTCCTCCCACGTGCTCCAGCTGCCCCGAGTCGGACACGTCGTAGCTGGTCTTGTACTTCGCCAGGATCTTCATCAGGGGGCGAAGTTTCAACCACCACTGCTCCTTAGGGATACGGTGACTGGAAAGACAAGACAAAACAAAGTGGTGTTTATTACAGGGTTTCAAAACTTTTTCCATGACTTTTTCTAGCCTGATTCATAAGCCTGGTTTCACTTCGTGGAAACCGTCTGACCTCACAGCATCATTCGCTCGACTGTAGGCAGGTACTTTTTATTATTCAACCAATCACTACTATTTGGTCGAGACGTATGTAATGCACCAAATCCCGTAGGAAGAAGGACAATAACGTCTTTCCCCTTGATAAAATTCACCAAAACATTTTCTTTGTTCCGGCTTTAAATCCTCGATCTCGTCAATCGTTGCCAACACAGAATGTCTGGCTCTTCGCTGCCCGGACTAGGACCTCCGGGCTTCTTGCAAACTGTCTAGTGCACAGGTGTCAAACATGCGGCCCGGGGGCCAGATCCGGCCCTCCAAGACCTTTAATCTGGCCCTCGGCTGATTTTCTACTAAAATATTTTTGTTCTATTTTTTATTAAAATATTGTTAATTTTCTGCGGCGCTTATCACAGCAGCATCTCCAGCGTCTCTGTACGTGGCCCCTCCCACCAGAGCAGCACAAATGAAGACTTGTCTCTTTCCAAACGCTCTTAAAGGACGATCGTTTTGACTGTTGACCGTGACACCCTCATCAGAAAAATGTCCAAAATGAGAAAAGTGGAGCCGAGTGCAGGATTTTCTTAAAGTTTCAGGTTGTTCATAATATAATAATATTTTGTAAAAGAAAGAGTTCCTCAATTAAAAAAAAAGATTTCTGTAATAGATTTGCGTTTCTCTGCACAAATATTTGAACTTATAGCATATAAACCCCAAAAACAGCAATGAGTTTTCTGATCCGGCCCCTTTGGGATAAAAGTAGGTTCGATACGGCCCCCGGACCAAAATGAGTTTGACACCCCTGGTCTAGTGTATTCTGACTCCTGATCTAGTCGCTGGAGAGAAATGAAATTGAGCGGAGGCACTAGGTGGCGCCAGCCTGACAAGACTTTTTCATGATCTAAAGTGAATTTTCCATGACTTTACAGCACCTACATGTATAGAATTGATCAGATAAATATGAAATGTTAACTCTTTCCACTCACCTTATGGTTTGGTTTTATAGATTTTTAACATTCAAAATACTGTCAGTGCATTTATTGTCGTCTCTTTTAAATCAAAGGCACAGACGTTTGGAAATAATCATAATAGTCTAATGACAACTTAACAGAAAGCTGTAGTTGTGTGAAAGAGATACTAAAATTCCACCACTTTTAGAAACCTTTAATTGAATTTACACATTTCCATGACTTTTCCAGGCTTTCCATGACCGTGGAAACATTTATTTATTCTTTTAAAGGTTCTATATTATGCAAAATTGACTCTTGTGAGCTTTTAGTCATGTTTTAATGTTGTTACATCATCAAAAATAGACCTGGAGTTGTGTTTTCGTTTCATTCACACATAATTCTTTATTCTTTATTATTAGCCTTTTTAGAGGTAGTTTTCAAGCTACCTTTTACGTTTATTTCAGTAGAGATTGGCAATTCCAGAGCTAAAATGATCCAAATGATTCTAGTGAAGGTGTATGGAATTTGAAAAACACAGTGGAGCACTTCCTGTATTACCACGTGACATCACAAGGTTGAACGGAGTGTTTTCAAAATATCCATAGTTTGTGTGAATGAAACAAAACACAACTCCAGATCTGTTTGCGACGAGGAAACAACATTATTAATTTATAAAAGTGCATGGTAATCTTTATTTCACGTTGTCATCTTGGTGTTTGTGATCAGAAACACCTGGCTGTAATCCGGACAGTTTTTTGTAATGTCGCATAGTACTTGAAATTGCACACACTTAAGAGTTTGGCATATTTTTTGTCCAGAAAGTTTCCACTAAAATGACCAGACGAGGAACAGTGGACAGTGATAATAAACCGCACTTCACATCGCATTATTCATTCACTTTCTTTGGGACCAACTTTCGATTCCAGCAAGTTTTAGCAACTTTCAGTAAATTTCGAACTTCCCATTAGACTTAATTAATTAGACTTAAACAAATTATCGCAGCAGCCATAGACGTAGACAAGCAGGAGATTCACTGCCTATAACTTAATGTAACTGCTTAATGTGTACGATTTAACACTATTAACATAAATACGAGATATTTCCATCATCAAACACCCCTCGTCGTGATTTCTGGTCCGCTACATCCGTAATGGAAAACTTCCTTAGGAGAAATTAAAAATGAATAGAGATAGTGCCTATAATACACTCATTAACATTAAGCACAGAGCTCATTAGGCCCGAGCTAATCAAATGTAATGAGCAGTGCTAAAGACCTGGTGCCATTTAAATACATCTCCATCTCGTAACACGGCGACACAGAGCGCGTAATCCATCTCGATATTTTTATAGATCATTTCTAATGGCTCTAATATGTGTGGTCCTATGCAAACATTTGTCCAGTTAAAACGCGTTAAGTGAATACGCGACCTCTCCGTCTTTTTAATACTCGTTTGGCAATAGGGCTGCCGCGCTAATGGACAAGATAATGGACGTGGGGAACAGGGTCACTTTGTCAATTTGCTATAGACGGATTGTAACGCATAAACTATAGAAGACTTGGGTTTTAAGTTTACTTACAACTACAGGCTCTAATCTTGTGCTTCTAATGACGCTGCAGTGGATAGATGGGAGTTTTAATTGCGAAAACATCACATATTTACAGGGTTACAGGGCTCTTTTTCACTGACAATATTTCAAAACTTTTCCATGACTTTTTTCATGACCTAAAGTGAATTTTCCATGGCATTACGGCACCTACATGAGTAGAATTGATCAGACGTTTAGGGCTAAATATCAAATGTTAAACCTTTCCACTAGGGCTGGGTATCATTAAGAAGTTGCCGATACGATACATATCTTGATACATAGGCCACGATACAATACATACCTTGATACAGTGCACTTTTGATACGATATGATATATTTAAAATCGATTCAATACGGTTCAATAAAATAAAAAAAGGGTAAATCATGGCTGTGATACTAAAAGTCTTTGTTAAACTGTCTCCTGTGCAAAGTTGATCTAAAAAAACGCAAATTTTAACATTTAAAACAGTGAATATGTCTACTGTTTTGCATAAACGAGAACAAACAACAAAACTGTGACAAAATAACTAGTAAAATATTCTAGTAAAATTCTAGAAAATACTGTTGGTGATATATCGAGACAGCAACCCATGATATCGATACTGTATCATCACAATCAACGATGCAATATATAGCGATATTTTTGCACACCCCTACTTTCTACTCGCTTTATGGTTTGATATAATACTGTCAGTGCATTTATTGTCGTCTCTTTTAAACAAAAGGCACAGACGTTCGGAAATAATCATAATAGTCTAATGATAATTTAACAGAACACTCTAGTTGAGTGAAAGAGATACTAAAATTCCATGACTTTTCCAAAACTTTCATTAAATTTATAAAATTCCATGACTATCCAGCCCTGGAAAATGACATTTTCAATTTCCATCCATGAGCGTGGATTTAAAGTATTTAAAGTACCATGTTATCATTTATATTCTTGAAATTGCTGTATTTGCCGAAAACAACGTATTTAAGTCTACATTTACATGACAACGGTCTGAACAGAAGATGCAAAAGTGGCGCCGCGTCTTCCCTTTTTATTCCACGTTTAGACAAACATTTTCGGGAGGAAACCTGTGTGCACGGTGACGCAAAAGTATGTGGAATTCGAATGTGTATGCATGCCGTCTGGCTCACCTACGACTCAACTGGTGCATCCAGAATTTCACAGTAATCACATTTTTTTGAAGTAATTGCAGATCCTTCTCTGTTCACTAATAGTAGCTCTGCAGATTCTCTACATTTGTTGGGAGCCTCCTGTAAGTTTATTAAAGCTGCCAGAACAACTTGAAGGTCGAATGCAAGAAATGATCCGACATGTTTGTTTCTGTGTACTGTGTATATGAGACGTAAACGCGTATGTGACGTGAGCAGATCTGACCAGAGTTTTGTGTCTTGGGCAGTGCAGATGGAAACGCTACGGTGGAGCGTATTCGACTTTTCCACTCTGGAGGATGGTTTCAGATTTTTGCGATTTTAAGCCCCAAAAATGCCATCACCGTCTAAATGAAAGTCACTTCTGATAAAATATTTTGTCGCTTTTACCCGCAAGTGTTCTCATGTAAACAGGCCCTAAATGTTTCAGTTTTGTTTTTCTCCCTTTGCTCTCTGCCCTAAGTCACTCCCCCTTCAGAGAGCTATCATAACATAATCGATGCAGGTTTGAGAAGCTGTCGTGTGTTCATTTGTATATTCATGTACAATTGTCATGTGAGATCATGAGCTGATAACCATAAGGAGGGTTCATATAGGGCACCGGGAGAGATCACTAGATTGCTCAAACATGCATGGGTGACATCATTGTCCATAATGAGGAAAAAAACGTTACAACACAGAGGTAGAAAAAGTCGATTTTCCATAAATTGCCCTGTTTAATGAACACATAAACTATACAAGACCTGGTTGCTATGGTAATAGTTGCAACTGAACCCACAGGGATCAGCTATTGAATTTAACGATTCACAATGACAAAACAAAACTTTTCTGGACGTTTACCTCCATGGACATGTTAACAGTTGAATGGATGTTTTGGCAACTTTTTGAGCAACACACATCAAACTCCTGTAATTTAACAAACATTCGAGGAAAAAGCAATAATATGCAATAAGATCCACAGATCCACACAGTGTTTGTTTAAAGTAAATGTTAATGTATACAAATTTATGTTGGGAAACTGATGCAATCTACGGTTTTATAAGACTAGCGCAAACAGAAGTCTCTTGCCGTCTTCTGACATCACTGCTGCTCTGCTTTGCCACGAGAAAATAAGTAGATGCGATTTATTCTTCCAATCTCTTTAAGTCGATGGTACGTATAGAGAGAATTACAGCAATGACTAAAGCGGGCGTTTCACATTGCATTCTGGGATTTGACTTTTACAGTACTCATTTGTTCCACCGTTTTGAGCTCACAGAGGAGTTAAGACTTAAGCCGTCCCTTTTCCGGGTGAATCCAATTCCGATCCGGAGCGTTTGGTCCAAATCCCTTTGTCCCTTCACCTCCCACATAACACTACTGCTATTCACAGATTTGCCACGCTGTATTATACCGGCTGATGGCATCCGCTGCGGTTTCTGCGGCGTTAAAGGTACAATATGCAACTTTTCTGTACCGCTTGTTTCCATGGAGACGTTAATACATTGAGAAAAAACAACACAACTAGATCATTTTAAACGGTTTGCATTCTGAGCACACTAATTATTCACGACGATGAGTTATGAAGTGACGTCACGGACCAGTGCTGAGTCACAACTAGCAGGCTAACACACACTTCCTGATCAACAGACTTTAAAATGCAATATAAAAGTGTCTTGCTCAAATAAATGGGAAAAATCAGGTACAGAGTCTTTAAATTATCATTGAATATTACCGTATTTTTCGGACTATAAATTGCATTTTTTCGTGGTTTGGGTGTTTCCTGCGACTTATACTCAGGTGCAGCTTATCTATTCAATTTTTCACAATGACAGCCTTGAGAGGGCACTCTAGTCTTGTGTGTCAGTATCTGCTGCTCCTATTACTCTGTACCACTGTCATTTCACTCTACTGCGCATGTCTCCTGGAGAAAGAGCCTCTGTCCTGCTGCAAGTAGCCGAAAACGGTAATCGAGCAGCCGAAAGAAAGTTTGGAGTGTGTGAGAAACTTGTGAGGGACTGGCGGAAAGCAGAGATGGAGAACACAACTTCAGGGTAACTGAAAGGAGGCGTCATGCAACTTTCCTGGAAGTCACTGGATGGATGGACAAAGCCTGAACTTCAGTGACACCGAAACCATCCTGTCGAGATTCAAAAAGACCGGAATAATTCTAACTGGAACTGACGCTGAGTCTGACGACAACTACACAGAAGAGGAAGCGATGCTCTGTTTACCTCCAGAGGTCGCCGAGTTGCTCAGAACTGACACCGAGGATGGATTTAGTGATTTGGAGTGAGATGGAGAGTTTATTAAACTTGTTCTGTTCTGTTGTTTATGTTATAGTTTTCTGAAGAACTGTTCATATGTGACTCTAACAGTCTGTTGTTCTCTGTTCTGTTGTTTTTAAGTCTATTTTTAAATTATTTTTAAGCTATTATTTATTATCTGTTTTATTGTATGTTACCTTTCCCTGCTGTTCTGAAATTGCGCGTTGCAACACTGGAATTTCCCCACTGTGGGACTAATAAAGGCATATCTTATCTTATCTTATAATTAGAACTTGCCTTTCCAGGTGAAAAGTCGGTTCCTGGTCTCTGATTTTATAAAATAAATTTCCCCGAAAAAGTGCAACTTGTGTGTGTTTTTTTTATTCTTCATTACACATTTTTTGGCTGGTGCGACTTATAAGACCAGGACTGAGACCGGGACTGAGACCGGGACTGAGACTGGGACTGAGACCGGGACTGAGACCGGTTTATACCTGGTTTAGACCTGGTTTAGTCCTGGTTTAGTCCTGGTTTAGACCTGGTTCAGTCCTGTTTCAATCCTGTTTCAATCCTGGTTTAGAGTCCATCATTGCAGTTTAAGTAATTTAAACGCAAAACCAAAAACTAAAAAAAACAAAATTGTTATCCGTTTTTTTCATTTTGGTTTTGAAGACAAATAATGAAAATAGTTGTTTATTTTGTTTTTGTTTGGAGGGACTTATAGTGTATACTGTAATTAAATTCCACTTTATTGCTCAGAAATATCTTAAAACCATGCATTCATAATTAGAACGGGCCCGCCTCTCCACAGATCTGACCTGTAACTCGGCCTGGTGGCTTTATCTACCTGTCTCTATGGAGAGATCAAAGTTTAAAGTCTTACTGTGGAACAATCCAGGCAAAAGCAATAACTTTTCCTTTGGAGCCAAGCAACTGATGGACGCTTTTGACCAGGAAAGTTCCACAGTGCGGCTTTAAAATACTCACACAAAGTCAGTCTCGTCCTTCAGGTCCACGACGGGCTGGAAGACCAGAGCCCGGCGGCGCATGCCCAGTAAACAGCAGGAGTCCTCCGTGTTAGCGAAGATACGACCTGAGGGGACACGACACACAGTGAGAGACAGAACCAAAAATAATACAGCGCCCTCTAGTGATATTGGCACCTCTGATTATTAAGTCTGTGGGGGTGTAGATAAGTTTGTGCGGCGGTTTTAGAAAATGTACGACCTCCACAAAAGCAGAAATGTCAATAGTTCTCCAGCAATAACTTTCTGGAGCCATTAGAATCTTTTAACGTGAATGAGATTTGTTTTCCTGAGTAGAAAAATCCGTGTATCATTCGTTCATACGGTTTTCAATATAAAACCAAAAATAAGAAAATGAAAAAAAAAACAAAAACATTTTCTTCATTATTTGTCTCCAAAACCAAAATGAAAAAACGGATAATGCATGTTTTTTCAGTTTTCGATTTTGGATTTAAATGAAAAATGGAAAAAAACGGATAATGATTGTTTCCCGTTTACGTGACTTAAACTGCGATGCCGGACTTTTGCACAGGACTGAACCAGGTCCAGGACCAGAACCAGAATTGAGACCGGGACTAAGACCGGGACTGAGACCGGGACTGAGACCGGGACTGAGTCTGGGACTGAGACCGGGAACAGACCGGGACTGAGACCGGGACTGAGACCGGGACTGAGACCGGACTGAGGACTGAGACCGGGACTGAGACCGGGACTGAGACCCGACTGAGTCTGGGACTGAGACTGGGAACAGGACCGGGACTGGACCTGGGACTGAGACCGGGACTGAGACCCAGACTGAGTCTGGGGCCAGACCGGGACTGAGACCGGGACCAGACCGGGACCGAGACCGGGACCAGACCAGGACTGAAAACGGTTTAGTTCTGGTTTAGTCCTGGTTTAGTCCTGGTCTAGTCCTGTTTTAGTCCTGATTCAGTCCTGGTTCAGTCCTTGTGCGGCACAATAGTCCGGCATCACAGTTTAGTCACGGAAACAGGACTATTAATTTAAACACAAAATTGAAAACTGAAAAAAAATAATTATCCGTTTTTTAATTTTGGTTTTGGAGACAAATAATGAAGAAAACAGTTGTTTATTCGTTTTCTTATTTTTGGTTTTATTTAAAAATAAAACAAATGAATGAATGATACGGATTTAGAAACATAAAAATTCCCTTATAACTAGTGTTTCTAGTGATTCTAACAATTTACACTCAAAATCATTACTACAAGTGAAACAAAACTCAATTTCTACAAGATGAAACATGTCGACGAAACTTTGATATAATCTTGAATAAATAAATTCTGTGACTGAGTTCACGTTTTGTTTTCTCCGTTTAATTTTACAGTTTTGTGATTATTGTAGCACCGTTTTCTGGAGTTACTCAGCAAAGTTAACCCCCATTTTTATTTATTTAATGTAAAAATACGAGGAAACAAATCTCACAAGACAATTTTCCTCATGTATATGGATAGGCCATAGTCATTATTAAGGAAAATATTTAATACCAAAACTGATTCCGATACAGCAAAGATTATGATTCAAGCTCAATGTGTTCATATAATAGTTTATTTTAATTTACAATGTAGTTTTATACAAGTTAGACACTGAGGGTACAGAAAACAGATCAGATATTATCTCTATTGAAAAAGTCAAATTTTCTCCTGATTATGTTTTTTTTCTCTTTAATATCAATACAATAGTTAAATTTTTACCATCCTACTTATAAGTCCTATATTAGAAATTGTTATACCTTGTTATACTAATCATATCCCCACTTAATTTGTCTGTTTTGTTGTTTTAATCACGTTTATCAGAGGTGCCAATGAAGGAGGAAGGACTTTGTGTTTGGGGGTTTGGTGCGTGTGTGGACAAGGACTGTGTGGAAGATCATTTGTTTCATCCGAGCCTGAATTTTAAACGCGACTGGATTTGTCACTTTGAATGTTTTAACTCTGAAAGAAAAAAGTTTGAAGGTTTTTCATTCTGAATTTAAATTGCTGAATTAAGTATGAATTTTCAAGCGTGTTTAAAATTCAGAATGAAAATGTAACCTTTTAAATATTCAAAGCGTTTGTTTTTAAGCCCAGTCAAGATTCAGAGAGGAAAATTTGAAGCGAAAAAAAATTCTCCAAGATGCCGAGGCAAAAGCAATCGAGGAGGAAAGAGGCGGCTGTTTCCTATTGGCTGTTCTCTTCTGTGGGCGGGGCTTATAGTGAAGGAATTAAAGAGGTGAGGGCCGTGTCTCATTTCTCTTTCCTCGCTTCCTTCTCCTTGATTCCTCTCCTCGATTCTGAAGGAAATGGTAAACTCTTCACTGAGACCGATAAAGTTTGATTCTTTTATCTGACGTCTGCTCCTGAAACTGCCCTCATGTTTACCCGTTCCTTCCGTGAATTTCTTTGGGACACCACTCAATACGACACATTTGATTGACAGCTGAAAAATGGAGGATCGAGGAGAGGAATCAAGGAGAAGGAAGTGAGGAAAGAGAAATGAGATGCGGCCAAAGAAATTAATCAAACAGGTCCTGGTTGTTATAAGATCGACTCACCTTGGATCGATTACTTATGCCTTGGCATCGTGGATCTTTACTGCGAAATTTTTCCCAACAAATTTTACACTCTGAACTTTTTACTGTTGAATTTGAGGGTTTGAAAGTATAAGCTATATTTTTAAATTGTGATTTTTTTAATTTTTTTATTTTTTTAAGTATATATATATATATATATATATATATATATATATATATATATATATATATTAAATATGTTAGAAAATTTAGAAAAAAAAAATATTGAAACATGTTTTTTTTTTTTTTTTTTTTTTTAATTCAGTAAAAAAAAATCCAAAGTAAGAAATTCAATGTCATTTAAAATCCAAAATCGGCTGAAACAAATGATCTTCCGTAGGACTGGACAATGCTGCTGAAAACTACAATGAACAAAGAGACTGAATAAAGAAAAAAATAAAAGTAGATGCAACATAAAAGGCTGCTGCAGCGTTTGAAGTGGTTAAAGGTCCTGTACCAGATTTTTCCCATGTGTTTGAGCAAAACCTGTCTCGCCCTAGTACAGATTAGTTTTTACAATACTAAAAATGCAAATTGTCAACACTAAAAATAAATTCGAAACATGTTTTGATTCAGAAATGCTCATTTTAAAAGCTCTTTTTTAGACAGTTATTTAGTACTAAAACTTATAATATTTGTTTCTTATATGATGTGGTCTTACACTAGTTCTGATGAAACTCAAGATTCAACTCTATATCTGACTTTTTCAGTATCAATACCTGCTCAAATGAGTATCTAGTTCAATACTTATTTTAGTATCAATTAGTATCTGATTTTCAATACTTAATACTTCAATAAAACCCTAGTAGAGATATATTATATAAGCAACACTTCAGGTCAAAATAAGTCCTATGTGTGCTGTTTGTAACAAAGTAGAGAGTCATTATTTTTGGAAATACAGGAAGTGCGTGTTAGAATTGTTGTTAGAGAGACCAAAGCAGTTTTACTGCGACAGACATGTCAAACTCAACTAAATTTGGCCCACGATACAATTATATTTGGCAGTTACAGATAGACAGGCTATAGAGACATTATTTATAAAAAAATTAGTTATTATTCTATATTTTGCTTGTTCTGGATTCAATGATTAAGCAGAACTATTATTAATAGGGATGTAACAATAACCAAAATATCGTGATATCGTATCGTCAAAGTTCTCACAATAATATCGTGGACCATCACAATATATCGAATTACAAGTGTCTTTGCTTAAATTAAGAGTTATGTTGCAGCAATAGATTAAAAAAATACAGAGGGAACTACATGGACCATGATCCTTTGCTCCATTTCAGTGCAGACTACAAGAAGAAATAACAGTTCTAAGCACTTTTAAGTTTTAGTTCTTTAGATTAAGTCTTGTCAAGGCATTTTAAGAGGAAAAAGTAGCATATTCAATTTTGTTATCCTCCACAAAATATCGCAATAAATATCGTACCGTGAAATGTAAATCGTGAAAATATACCGAGAGATTTGGATATCGTCGCATCCCTAATCGTGAGTCTCAACAACATATCGTGAGCTTTCCCATGATATCGCGATAAATATCGCGCCGTGAGGTTCATACCGTGACGATATCGTATCATGAGACTTGGATATCGTTACACCCCTAATTATTAAACGTTTATTTTAATAAGAAAAGGTAAGAAAGAAGAGAAAACGTGCGGATGTTGTTGAAATTTTTCCATAAATATTTAATTTGGCCCACGACTTAGTCCCAGTTTTTAATTTCGGCCCTCTGTGTGAATTTGAACACAGTGAATAATTAAGATGCTCAGAGTGCATAGGGTAAGTGAGGAATAACTTTGGACCACTGCAAACTGTTTAAAATGAACTAATTCTGGTTTTCCCATTTTTGGAGACAGTAAAAATCAGGTACAGGCCCTTTAAAACTGCATTGTGGACAACATTAGTGCATTTAGTGGTGATTTCTACAGTTAAACATCGACAGTCTACAGGCACATGGACAGGGGGGTGGTCATGGAGCCAGAGAGAAACACGTTTTACCTTCGTCTTAAGTCATCCATGAGTTTGGAAAATGGATAGAAACACACACAGTTTAGTCTTTGCATGCATTATTCAGCCTATTTAGTAAGCAAGATGCATTCTGGGTAAATTTAACTGTTATTTACTTTATGTTATGTTACGCTTGCTGTTAATGTCCCATTGTTAAAAGGTGCACCGTGTAACTTTTCTGGTCTGTCAAGTACTTTTTTTTCCATGGAGATGTTACTGCTTTGTCTGGAATGTTTCACAGTATGGCATTAACCCTTCCAGATCTAAGGGCATTTTAAGTTCAGCTGTCCTCGCCTGGGTTTTTTTTTTCTTAATTTTGAGATTAAAACTCCCCTTTTACCCCCTAATAAAGTGTTATACATCATTTTTTTCAGCACAACCTGTTATTTCACAATCTTCTGCTGTAGTTGTGTCACATAAGACCAGAAATAAATTAAAAAATAAATGCAAAAATAAATAAAATCACACTCTTTCATACAAAACACAAAGTAAACATGTATAAACAACTTTTTGGATTTAAAAAAAAAAAAAAAAAAAAAAAAAGCTTACTTTAGGGTCTTAGCTGCAAAAGTGCAAAATATCAAGTCTGTAAGTAAACTAAAAATATCCTTATTGCCCTCGAAACAACAACAAAAAAAGTGCAATAGCCCCATTACTTTACTGGTGCCAGTTATGGAAACAGCTGTATTTGTATTTGTACATTTAGAGTGAAATAAATAAAATAAAATAAAAATAACAAGGGATGTGCAATTATTCAGACCAGGATGCATAATTTGCCATTTATTTGAGAAATAACTGCACTTAGAGCAGCTTTTTCAATTATTAAAAGCATAGACGCTCAGAGCAGGCAACTATCTTGACTCAGCTTACACTCTTTGGCAAAGTTTGGGCTAATCAAAATGGATGGAGCGCATGTGTTTAGTGGAAATAAAGTTCCTATTGGACACTTAATTTCCTGATGTCATCACACAGCGAGCGTTTGACGTAGGATAATGCCGGAAATATGGTCGGAAAGCTAAGAATGGGGAAAAAAAAGAGCAAGTTTCTATCTTTTATGGTTGGAAAGTTATGCGTGGTTATATAAAACATTCGCCGGTGTCATATAAGATGCTATTGGTCTGGAAGGATTGAACCCTTTTATTTTCATGGAGACAGAACCAGACAAGTTATAGGTAAGATCTGTGGAGAGGCGACCCTGCTCACAGTCAGAATACATGTTTATCTGAGTGTTTTTGAGCTATAAAATCACCTGTAATTGAATAAACGTAATGTAGGACTGTTTATAATGTCACACTGTGGAACATTCCTGACGTATCCATAGAAACAAGCAGCTGAAAGTTACGTAGTGCACCTTTAATTTCAAAAAGAAGAATAAAATATGCTGTATTGTAAGACAGAATGACTCCATGACGGATATTGGGTTTATTTTGGCTGTAATACAAAACATCTCTGTTGGACGGGAAGGTTACAGCTACCACAATAATATAATATATATCTGGTCTATATATTATACAACACCGTTTTACTAACATAGAACTGGCTACTTTACATATTTAGGCTGCCTTACCTTGTCTGAACGTCTCCTGGAGTTTGTTAGTGATCCACTGCATGGCCTTTGCTGAGATTTTTGTGCCAAAATTCCGATCAAAAGGAGACGGAGCGCCACCCTGGAAAAAAAAGAAAAAAAAAAAAGGAAAAGTTAAGACATTGAGTGACTGTGATAAAGCTTAAAAACAAGAGGAGACGTTTGAAATATGAACGTGTTACAGTTTATCCAAGCTGTGGACTGTTTAACATTCTAGAGATGTTACTGCTTTGTCTGGAATGTTCCACACCATGGCATTAAATGTAACCATCTTGCATTTAATCAATTACAGGAGGTTTATTGTTTAGAAAAAATGTCGACTTGTAACTTGACCTAGAACATTCCAGGCAAAGCAATAACATTTCCAGCAGAAAAAGTTACTTAGTGCACTTTTAACAGTCACTATAAATCCATAGCAACCACATGACATTACATTTTACTGTAACAAGATACAAGGGAGGAAACCAGACAACCGCAGTTTTGTTATAGCCCAACAATAAAAACATTACCATAATCGGAATTAAAATGGAGATTTCTCACAAAACTCAAAGTGTAATTGTAACTTTAAATGTAACTTTATAACTTGTTAACTTTATAAATTTAACTACCATAATTGTCAGATTATTGAGCGCACCTGAATATAAGCCACATCAAAACAAAATTTTAAAAGAATGAGTGGATATCCGCTTACTGAAGTTAAAGACGTTTCTTCATGTCATTTACGCACCCATCTGCATTTAACGCATACAGATTATTAAGATGTATCCGACTCACTAATGTTAATTTAGCATTATAACTTATTTTATCACACAGTGATAAACTGTTTTACTGCACTGACAACATCTTTAAGTAACGCTGCAACTTCATGTTACCCGTACACACTGCTTTCTGCTTTCTGCACTCAGGCTGCATGCACATAGTCAGGCTGGCGCCACTTAGTGCTCAATTTCATTTCTCTCCAGCGACTAGGTCAGGAATCGGAACACACTAGACAGTTTGCAAGAACCCCGGAAGTTGTAGATCGCGCACTGGCCAATCAGTGAAGAGCTGTGAAGTCATGACGTCAAACTCAAGCTCCTGTCTGTGTCCCTTTTGTGGAACAGCACAACAGTAAACAAAGCGTTGAGATGGATGTAGACGAACATTCTGTGTTGACAACGATTCCCGAGATCAAGGATTTAAAGTCAGAACAAAGAGAATGTTTGGAGAATTTTATCAAGGGGAAAGACGTTACTGCCCTTCTTCCTACGGGATTTGGCGCATTACATACATCACGACCAAATAGCAGCGACTAGTTAAATAAAAGAAGTACCTGCCTACCGTCGAGCGAACGAATTCTAATGCTGCAAGGTCAGACGGTTTCTACGAAGTGAAACCGGCTGATGAATCAGGCTAGCACATGCATCCGCTGTGTTGATAAACAAATAATCTGTCTATAAATGATCATTGTAAAAACCGCAGGGCTCAAAGTGTGAGATCAAAGTAGCAGCTGATAGTCCAAAAATTATGGTAATTAAAATAGCACAATGGCACCACTTTTCTGCATTCTGAAAATAATTTGTATTACTCATACTATATTTATAATCATATATGTTTGGAAATCAAGAGGTTTTGGTGACAAGTGGACAACTTACTTTTAGTTTCCACATTATTGTACAGCACTAGGTAATTGATAATAGCTTATTTGACCATATAAGGTTGTGAATTTGATTATGTTTTCATACTATTTAACAGATACATTCTACGTTTCATTTTATTTAGCTGTTGTTTAGTTTCCCCGCTCTTTCCTTTGGTAAATAAACAGGTTTTTGATCTATTTTTACCTGCCTTAATCCCAGGAAGCACTCGCAGCCAAAACACAATAATCCGCCTAATCAGTAAGTACAAATAAGCAGAGGAGGTACACGCTTCATTAAACTCTCTTAGTTGTTTTGTGGTTAATTAAAATCCTGTACAAAACGCCGTTAAAGCTCTATTCTCCTGTTTAGTGATTGGGCCCACCTGCTGCATGTGTCCCAGTACGTTCTTTCTACAGTCAAACACTCCTCTGCCCTCTTCACTGTACAGCTGGTAGATGAAGTCTGTGGTGTAGTTCTCGTTGGAGTTCTCGTTCCTGTAAAGACAATTAGAAACATTATGTTGAAATTGTGACTTCAAATAATAATAAAAGCTCTAGCTGTGGGGTAGCAGTCTGTAAGCTGTTGATAAGGGCTTAATAAAAGATGTCAGTGCTGTATCATTTGAGGACTAAATAAAAAAAAAAAAAAAAAAAAAAAAAAAAAAAGAACAATAGAAGAGCATGATAATTTAATGCTAAAAAAACCCAAAAAACAACTGGAAACTGTTTCACTGTCTCTTACTCATAAATATTTATAGAAACCTGAGGAAAAATTTTGAAGCTAGACATAATAAAGTCAAATTAGGACAAATACATAGGGAGAAATATGTCTCACTAAAATAAAAATAATCATATTTAAAATGCAGATAAATATATACAAAATACAAAATGCAATCCTGATAATAATTAATAAGTGTTACATCACAGCAACTTATTATTACTTATTTATTTACTTTTATTTATTTATTTACCTAAGAACCAGTCCTCTCTGAATGGTGGTCTTCATTTTCTCTGTCAAGTGCTCCACATTTGCCTGAGGAAAGAAAAGAGACAAATAATGGATCATCACCAGCAGATGGCGCTTCAGTGAAAGCAGAGCGAGACTCAAACACCCTCTAGTGGACGAAAACAGACAGTACAGTTATGTCTCTTAAATATTTTTCTATTCAATAATTTAACTTGCATGCATTTAGCAAATAAGTAATTTTACATAATTATATTTTTCCATCATTAATAAACAATAAATAAATAAATACATATTGTATAATGACTACGCCTTAAATAACCTTATAGAGCACGAGCAAAGATTTAAAGATTTCAGACTTAGTAACCATCGAATTAATTAAGGCATTGCTCATTAATTAAGAAGACAGACATACAGACAGACAGACAGATAGATAGATAGATAGGCTTTACTGTCTGTCCCTGTTATGAAGTCTGAATCATTCATAATAAACAATTTCTTCTTTATGAATTAAGTCTGCGTTCATGCTTTATTAAGGCTGTTGAAACTCTAATTACAGGGTAGTAAACGTTTATATTTACAATTTAAATATGTAAATAGTGAGTGTGTGTGTTTAAATTATGTTTTATTATATCTGCATTCTAGCCTTGTTTGCGCGACAACGACCCTGTTATTTAGTGGACTCTATCTGTCAAAATAATACCCACTGCAAAGAGAACAAATAATAGCATTTATAGTCCTTCATATTCCCATTTCAGTCTAATTTTGAAAACACAGTTGGCTCCTTTTCTGAATACTGATAATATTCAATCACTGTTGTAAATACCAATATCCAATGTGTTTATGGATTAACTTGACAGTATTTTTACAGCAGAAGTTCACCTGTAGATCTTTAATATCGAATGCTTCTTCGTAGATGTAGGCTGCGTCTGCTCCAGAGGCCAGCCCCCCCACACTGGCCAGGTAACCGCAGTAACCGCCCATGGTCTCGATGATGAACACGCGGCGCTTGGTCCCGCTCGCAGACTGTTTTATACGGTCACAGGTCTAGAGCGTGGACAGAACTCGTACAATTAACAACAAATACAAGTAGACGTGGAAACAGATACTTTGCAGCTGGGGGTGTGATGCTAACTGGAGGCTCTGCTCTGTCTGAAGCTCTGTTACTCGTCAAGTGCTCGTCTCCATGGATACAGTATGTGTCTAGACACATACTGTATCCATGTATACTGCATTGTTCCACAGTATGTTCATAAGCACACGAATATCCATGGAGACTTGTGAGCCAAATTACAGGTTAAATTTGTGAAGAGTGTCAGAATTCAAGTTAGAATTAATGTTTTTGTTATGAGTTTTTATTACAATTTACACCAAAACACTGACATCTACCTGGAGACAAACATAAAGTAATTCAGTGCACTTTTATTCTGAGCTTTGGTTTAACACAGTCTGATCAGAAAGAGCTGGTTTAGCTTAAAGGGACAGTTAAGAATTTTGGACATAGGACTTCATTTCCTAGTGAGCCAGAGTGTTGGAGACTTTTTTTTTTTAAATATTCTAGTCTCCTTTCGTTGGCCAGGCATTCTAAACTTCTTAACAATCCAATTTTGGGTGAAATATGTGCAGGTTTATTATATTTAGACTAGTTTTAAGGGTCTCTCCCCAGAGCTCAAAAATCAAGCTGCTTAACTTGACATGGCGTCACCAGAAGTCCGGTTAGTTTTATTTCAAATATTATTCTATCCACACAAACATTCACATCGACAGTCTGGTGTAATTATAGTTTTATTTCGGGTGTTTTGTAGAGTGGGTAAGACAACTATGGCCATTGACATGCACTAGCCGAGCACCAGCGACCTCTGCAAATACAAGGACTGGATGGAATATTTTTTAAAAGAGTCTCCACACGTCTCCAACACTCTGGCTCACTAGGAAATGAGGTCCTATGTCCAAAATTATGGACTGTTCCTTTAACAACAACAGGTGACATGATTTGTGCTGTTAAATGAGTCTCTCTCAAATAAAATTACAGTCACAGCAGTTTTTCAGTTCGTCACTCTCACGTTTTTTGTGGAAAATTAAACATCTAAACAGGATCATGATCACTCGTGTGGATCACAAGCTCCTGAAAACATGCTCTTCAGTCAATCATAAAACTTTTTTTTGGGCTTGTATTTGCATTTGGTCACCGTGATAACTAAAACTAAACACATTCCACTACATAAAAATACACATAGAGCACCCCCAGCGCGATGTCACTGCAAAGTATCAACAGAAAACGCAGCAGGATCGTACATTGCACATAAAAGCGTCACTCGTGTCCAGGCAGGCATGCATACAGCTCATACAAAGACACTACACTAAGGCAACTGCTGCATACTGTAACTGTAATCGTAATAAAAATAAACGATAATGGATAATAACACACACTTATGACATTATAAGACCGTCAAATAAATATATACTCACTGTTTAATTTTCTGTGGGCAGATATTTGTAGTACAATGTGGAAAACGTACGTGAAATGTTAAGAAATGTGTTTTTAAATACACTTGATGTGCCCACTACGACTTTGAAATGAGTATATTGTAAACACTGTACCTTCTATCCACTATAACTTATTATTTTGTTATAGAATTTAGTTTTGAGTTCCCATTATCGTAAGATTTCAAAGCGTTCAAATGACATTTTAATAATAAGATAAAGTAAATAGACGTCATGTAAAATCCACATTAATTGTATAAACATTGGACTCCACTAATACAGTTATTTAGAAAACCATAATCTTTAACTGTGTTGTTGACTATTCTGTAAAGCTGCACTATGTAACTTTTCTGGTGGACGGTCCAAAACCTTTCCATGATGTTACTGCTTTGGCTTAGAAGGTTCCACAGTATGGCATTAAAAGTTACAGGTCAGAATGCGTGTTTTTCCAAGGTATAAATAAAAAGAAAATGCAAGATAGACATGTTTAAAGCCATACTGTTGAACAATAACATCTCCATGGAGACAAGCACATAACAGACCCACACTAGAAAAGTTACACAGTGCAACTTTACAGTCTTAACGATGCATTGTGTAACTTTTCTGGCGGAGGCTCCGTCAAATGCTTGTCAAAATATGGCATTGCTTTGTCTGGAATGTTTCACAGTATGATATTAAACGGAGGTGGGACCAAGTTGTCGTTTTGCAAGTCTCAATTAAGTCTCAAGTCTTTGACCTCAAGTCCGAGTCAAGTTCCAAGTCAAATACAGGCAAGTCCAAGTCGAGTCTCTAGTCACTGGCCCATAAGTCCAAGTCAAGTCCAAATCGTCTGCTTTGAGCTTCACATCATTTCAAGTCTTTAAACCAAAGTACCAAATATAGCTTAGATTTTTGCAATTTATATGAATTTTAAGATAAATTGTACTTTAAAAAATGAGAGTATATTTATATTTGAGTATTTATAGAGTATATAAGAGTTGTAGAAATTAATTTAGTTAATTTTTCCTTTTGAAATGTCTTGACAAGATCTTAGAGTGAATCATTACAGTCAGAAAACAGAATTAATTCAGATTTAAAAGTGCTTCTCAAATTTTCTCAAGTCACAGGCCTCAACTCCAAGTCGAGTCCCAAGTCTTGGTCCATTTTATCAAGTCAAGTCTCAAGTCCTGAAAATAGTGACTCAAGTCCAAGTCATGATTTGCAAGTCCCCACCTCTGGTATTAAGCCTGGAGATGAAACCAGACCAATTTACCGGTCAGATCTGTGGAGAGGCGACTCCTCTCACAGTCAGAATGTCTATTTTTGTTTGTTTTTTTGTTATTTTTGAGCTGTAAAACCACCTGTAATTGAATAAATGTAAAGTAGAGCTGTTTAATGTCACACTGTGGAACATTCCAGGCATCGCAAAGTCATAAAAAGTTACATAGTGCACCTTTATAAGCTTAACCAATACCTTTCATCCTAAATAAATCCCCCAAATCGCCTTACCTCCACGATGGCATTGAGAGCTGTGTCTGCCCCAATGCTCAGATCAGTGCCCGGGACATTGTTACTTATGGTGGCGGGCAGCATACACATGGGCACGCAAAACTCCTCGTACGCCGCCCTGGCATCGTACAGCTGATGGAGACTCTCTAGGGCCTACAGCAGTTATGGTATACGAACAAAACTACACATTAGAGCCATTGGAAAGCCAGCCGTCCACACAGACCACAGATCTGCGTGTTCGCTAGAGCGTATTCAGTCTTTCCGGCTCGTTCCGTGTGATAGGGGTGATGGCTTCCCTTTGGCAGACATGAGACCAGAAAGAAAAGAGAGAGAGAGAAAGAGGGGAAGAGGAGGAGGAAGAGGAGAAATTCAAGTTTGGGGTTCACAGGATAGATAAAAAACTCTCGGAAGACCAGTGAAGTAGAGAAACAAGGACAAACTGGGAATGGGATAAAGGGAAAGGCAGGGGAAGTTGGTTGGATTGTATTTCATAAAGGCAGTGTGATTGTGGCGAGCTATTATGGACGGTCTCTGAAATTGGCGGTAATTATAGTGATGACAACAGAATTGGTCTTATCCCTCGTATTGTTGTGGTTACATAAGAGTGATTTTGCTGCTATTTCATGTAACAAAGCAGGATGTTGTTTTCAAATGCACCTGTCGTGTCTCATGTTTGAGAAGAGCTTGGTCCCATCTGCTTTTTGTGATTCAGGAATCACAGTAAACTTGAAAGTAAAGGCACAAAGGATAATTAAATAATGTACCGTATTTTTCAAACTATAAGTCACACTTTTTTTCATGGTTTGGGTGTTTCCTGCAACTTACACTCTGGTGTGACTTATATATTAAAATTTTGACACTGACAGCCGCGAGAGTCTTGTGTGCCACTATCTGCTGCTCCTATTACTCCCGTACCACTGTCACTTCACTCTACTGCACATGTCTCCTGCAAAAAGAGCCTCTGTCCTGTCTACATCATGTCAGTTGATCAAACCTTTACTTCTGTACCACTGCAAATGTAAAATTTAAGTGACTTCAGTGACACCAAAACCATCCTGTCAGGATTCAGAAGAGGTCGCTGGAGGTTGCATAGTTGTTCAGAAGTGACACCGAGGATGAAGAATTCAGTGAATTTAGTGATTTGGAGTGAGATCGAGAGTTTAGTAAACTTGTTCTGTTCTGTTGTTTATCTTATAATTACCTCCGCCAAGGAGGTTATGTTTTTGCCGGCGTTTGTCTGTTTGTTTGTTTGTCTGTTTGTTTGTTTGTTTGTTTGTTTGTTTGTTTGTTTGTCTGTTTGTTTGTTTGTTTGTTTGTTTGTTTGCTGTTAGCAACATAACTCAAAAAGTTATGGACCGATTTTGATGAAATTTTCAGGATTTGTTGGAAATGTGAAAAGGAAGAACTGATTTCATTTTGGGGGTGATCCGGAAGAAATCCTGGATTCTGGATCACTTTGAAATTTTAGTTAACATTGTGGTAAATGGGGCCAAAAATTTTGTTTCTCAATATCTCGGTTAATTATTGACCAAACCCCATGAAATTTGACTCAGGGATGGACAATGGGATCCTCTTTCATATTCCAAATTGAAAGATACGAGACAAATATTTATGGAAAACACAATTAATATGAGGGGGACTGTAGTCCTTGGCGGAGGTCTGCGCTCTCTGAGTGCTTTTCTAGTTATCTGAAGAACTGTTCATATGTGATATATTGTTATTACTAGAACTTGCCTTTAAAAATGAAATGTTGGTTCCTGGTCTCTGATTTCATATACATGTAATATTAAATATAATACATTTCCCCCAAAAAGTGTGACTTATAGATGTTTTTTTTCTTCTTCATTACACATTTTTTGGCTGGTGCGACTTATAGTCCGAAAAATACGGTATTCATGACATATAAACATATAAAGGACCTAATTGGAAGTCTAAGCGTATCGATACTTTGCTACTGATGTCATCAATATTCTCTGGGGGTGTGATGCTAACAGGCTGAGGCTTTATTAGACTTCATCTAAGTTTTTTTTCAACACAATCTGACCAGAAAGATCTGACTTAATTGGAACTACAACAGGTGAGCTGACTTTTAACTTTTAACAAAGACTTAAACAGGACCGTGAGTTTTCAGATTATCTAAAAACGTGTGGCTGTGTTTTGCTAATGTGTTCATTGTGTCACCAACTGCAAGTGGTGTAAGAAAAAATCTGTGATATATTGTGATATTTCATTGAACAATTCTTGAATGGATTCAAAATGGATCCGAATTGATTATTTAAATAGCATTTTTCACAAAAACTAATTACTTACATTAAAAAAAAAATATATAATAATACATTATATTTCATCAAATTGTGTTCTCTTGAAGGTGCAGTTGACTGTATTATTACAAGTCATTATTGATAAATCACAATATATCATCCATTATTTTAGTATTGGGTTAAATCGTGATATATTGAATCGTGACATGTATATCATGATATGTATCGTATCGTCAGACTCAAGGCAATGCACATCCCTAGTAACTGAACTTTCTGCCATACACATAGATGTAGAAAACCCCCAACGTGACGTCACCGCCAACCATCAGTGTTCACACTTGTCCAGGTTCAGTTTCGCCCTGATGCAGACTTGGTTTGGCCTTGTTCTAGTCCTGGTTTAGTCTCAGTTTAGTCCTTATCGTGATGTGGTGTGGAATGTATTATCTTTTATTCAACCAGGAAAGTCCCGCTGAGACTTGGACTCTCATTTTCACGGGAGTCTTGCACCAGATGAGACCTATTGTACATGTTTTAGTGGTAGGGAAAACTAAAGGACCAGAAGGAAACAGGCACAGACACAAGGAGAACATGCAAACTCCACACAAGACCCATGCCTCCCGGGAGTCGAACCCTTGACCAACCACTGTGCCATTTAACAATAAGTAGAATTCTAGGGCTTTCTTGTCTACCTCTTCAAGTCTTTCTGGTTAATTCTAGGTTTTTATTTGCGAGTAGGTAGTGCTGAAATAATAAAAGTCGCAAAATCTCAAGATATATTGATCCCACACAAGCAAAACTACTGGCTACTTTCCAAACATCTCGAACTCCAAATATATTAGAAATGAAAGCAGGCATCTACGTCTACGGCTTGTATGATCTCTGCATACAAAAAAAACACACCATGCCGCTATAATCTCCAGGACAAATACGTGAAGTACAGCACACAGTAGAGGAGCAGGCAGAGAAAACATGGCCGACAAACCCGTGCAGCACTCAGCATGCCTCCATGTTTCACTCACTCTACTTACCTCAGACTGAAGACAGAGACGGAGGGAGGGAGGTGAGGGGAGAAGTGGCTACTAAACTCTTATCTGTTTGTATTTTAAGTGTTGTTTTAGTGTCTGGTGGGTGTAGAATGTGGTGGAGAACGAAGTAAAAACGAAGCGACATAAGTAAGACGTTGGTGGTGAAATCTGGGGTTCATCGGCAAAATTGAGTCTTGAACTTGACTGACCGATTAAAGATTACTCAAACATGCACGAATCACTCCAAATACAACTTCAGTGAGTAAACAGTGAGGGGAAACAGCTATAACATGGTCGATTTTGCATAATAGGTCTGCTTTAAACAAAATATACTCATCATCAACATTTATATTGTAATTTCACCCTCTCTTAATGTAATATACTACATAAAAGTGGCTCATAAGCTCAAATTCTAGGGGCGTACGAAAAAAAAACATTCACTGATATATCGCGATACTTCATTGCGCCATCAAAATGCGTCCAAATAGATTTTTTAAAGTCATGTTTTTCCCATCCCATTCACTATTCGTATGATTTAGAAATTAAATAAATTGCATTTCATCCAGTTTTGTTCTCGCGAAGGTGTAACTCAGCCATAATATTAAAATAAATCGCAATATATCGTCCTTTGTTTTAGAATCGGGATATATCGTGATATATTGAATCGTCACAGGCATATCGTAAAGCCAGATTTACGGCATTGCACACCCCTACAAAATACTAAGGATGTAACAATAACCAAAATATCGTGATATCGTATCGTCAAAAGTCTCACAATCAATATCATGGGCCATCGCAATATATCGAATTACAAGTCTCTTTTTGGTTAAATTCACTGTTATGTTGCATCAATGGCTCAAAGACCATAATCCTTTCCATGATCCTTAATTATTCTTAATTATTATTTGTATTATAATAGCACCACAAGCTTTTCGAGGCGTTTTAAAAAAAGAAATAATTGCATATTTTGGTTTTGATTAGTTTCCACAGAATATTGCAATACATATCGTACTGTGAGATGCAAATCGTGTAAATATCGTATTGAGAGATTTGAATACTGTTACATCCCTACAAAATACTATTCAAATAATGTGTAGAAATATGGCCCAACCCGTGCGATAATACTCCAGTAAAAACGAAGGTTAATAGCCATTTCTCTTCCCTCCTCCTCCTCCTGTGTCCTCCTCTCTTCGCGCTACATTTACTACTCAAACTTCCTCTCATTTGCACATGCTAGCACTCCACATAAGCCTCGTTCGCGTGTCGTCTCCATCACTTACAGTCGTGATGGCGTTCAGGGCCGTGTCTGCCCCAATGCTGAGGTCTGACCCCGGCACATTGTTGGACACAGTGGCGGGGACCATGACCATAGGAACACAGAATTCCTCATATCTGCCGCGCGCCGATTGTAACTCCAGCAGCGACAGCAAGGCCTAAGAGCAGAGCCGTGGGTTAAGTCTGCGGACTCGCTTAGCAGATGGCAGGGTCGACAGGTGCGGGGAAGGGGCGGGTGAGGGGGGGCGGGCGCTACTTGCCACAAAGGAAAGGCAAAAGTGAAGGTGCCAAGGGAGGAGCCAGGTCTATCACAACGGACAGCAGCGAAATAGACAGGTACCACTCTACTGCTACGACAACAACACGTAAACACAAACACAGGCCTAGCGTACACAGTCGATCTAATACAGAGGTAAGTGAAGCCGCTAACAGGGCTGCGTGAAATGGCTAGGAAAAAGGCAGGTGTGGTTTTATTTGAATGAGAATAAATGCATATTCATAACAACATAAACAGTTTAAGGGCTGCACAGTAGAATTAAGTCGTTTGAAGTGACTATGACAGGTTTGGCTACGCATTTTACTACAGTTCAGATCATTATATTTAAGATTTAGCTAAAAAAAATCTCAATTTGGCATTTTTTAGGTTTCAAATTTTACTTTCTGGTTGGTAACCACAACATTGCACTAGGGAATCATTATATGACATATAAAAATGTAAGAAAGCACCTGAAATTGTTGTGTAAAAATAATAATAATAATTAAAATAATAATAATAATAATAATAATAATAATAATAATAATAATAATAATAATAATAATAATAATAAATACAATAAATAAATAAATAAATAAAATTTAAATAAATAAATGTTTCTTGTGTCTAATTTGGACAGAATTCACCCCAGTGTGATGTCTTTAATATGTTTAGAACTTTCTACTTCCTGTAATTTTCAACATATTTTTCCACTTTTCTTCACAAATTGCTTCTTAATTGGTGTAAAACTATAATTTATATTTACAACAAGTATAATCCCACCAAATTAAGTCCAAATTTGAGAATTATATAAAAAAATATATATAATAAAAATGTCCTACGCACTTTAAAGCCACAGTATGTAACTTTTAGGTAAAAAAAGATAAAATAAAATTAATAAATAAATAAAATGTTTAAAAAAAAAAAAAAAAAAAAGCACGGTTTTCTTTTTTTTTTCTTCTTTTTTTTTTTAAATCGCACTAAAAAACAGAAAAAGCATTTGTTCTTTCTTGGCTTGCATCTCCACAAACCTGACTCATATTCGTCGTAGTTGCTTCCATGGAAATACTGTTCATTTTGGCTATAATCTATCACACTTTATCATAAAACTCTCTCTGTGGAGAATATTCCGAAGTATGGTTTTAACTTTCTATTTCCATGGAATCATGCTGGTGACGTGCCACCTCCAGAAAGTTACACACTGTACCTTTAAAATATTGTGAGGTTACTGTTACCTAAGTAATTTAATATTTTCAAATGCTGTGCAGCCCTAAACTTATGCATAACATTATCAATCATTAAATACATCTATACACATTTAGACATATCATAAAATCTTCATATGAACAGAGTTAGAATCAAGTTTTGCAACTGTTATAGACTATTTTATTATTTTTATTATTATTTAACTGATAACTTTATGTACCAGTATATTCGATTCATTATGTTAATTCATCTGTGTTAGTGTATTACCTATATATTAACTGATTATGCTAAATAAATAGGTGTAAAAACGTACCTCGAATCCACCGATAACTAGCAGCGCACTGATACTGTGCTTTCTCATTTGTTCTGCGATTTTTTCAACGTGTTTTGCTGGGAGTGTTCTGGAGAAGCAGAGGAACGTCGTTTAAAAGATCTGTGCACTTGGCAATATAAACTGTATTTCAGGAAATCAAGTTCATTGCACAGTAAGGAAGTAATTTTTACAACCAGTTATGAAAAATATGTTGGTTTTACCTTTTAGTTCCCAACAATGATCCACCTTGACCTGTCCAGCCTCCAACATCTGACCATTTAATCTCTTTAATCTGAAAAGACAAACACAATCAACATAAATATACAGTATGTACATAGAAATAAAGAATAGCTACACATCAGACTGTATAAAAAGTGGACTAAATTTGACATGGCTCATAGCGTCCAGCTCCAGTCAAATGAAGCTCATTGATACTTTTAGTTACGGGGCGAATGTAGACTACGTTTACACGGAAACGAATCCGCGTATCGACGTCTCACCGTATCGGAAACGATTTGCTTCCAGACACGTTGTTTCTGTGTCCGCAATCCTTCTCTATCCACACAGCTTTGAGCATATTTGCTTACGTTTTACAGAAACAAAACTTAAAACCTTTCCACTTAACAATGTTGTCAGTCAAACCTGTTGCAAGTGCTATGAAAAAAGGCTCCTTTTTTGTCTGTTTTTAACGTTCATATCTTAATTTATGGACAAAATGGTGAAATAAAAACACCAGGATCATGTAGAGCGGGTTAATACCAACATTTTAAGTAATTTTAAGAGAGCGAAAGAGGGGACACAGTTTTTCAATATAAAGTGAACTGGAGCCACAGTCGATGGAGCCAGAAGTGTTCCCATGTTCACTTAGCTATGTCCATTTATATATATGTATAAAGTGGCAAACATATTTTTATTGACAAATTTTTGCATCTTGGACCACAATCCGTCGACTAAATGAATGAATGAATAATTAAAATAAACACTGGCGATTGTTTGGTGATTTGGACTTCTCACACAAGTCCTTTTTTTCTACTCCTTTTGTACTGTGTGGATAGAAATTTACTTTATCCAACATGACACGGCTAATTACATCCACACATCACTTAGCCCACTGGCCCACGTTAACCTTTTGTACTAATGAAACTTGAATAGGGACAATATTTCTTCTTTGCGGTGAAAACAGTGAAAGCAGCAGACAGACACAGATCCATAACTCCTGCAGGGCCCATCTGCTCTGGGTCACTTGGCACAGTCTGATTTTGGCAGCGGTCTCACTGGATATTTAACGAGTTTTATTAAAGCCCGAGCACATAAATACACAAGGGACAGGAGCACTTTATATAAAACAAACACTGGATGGAGAAGGTTTAAATAGACAAGAAATACAGTGGGTTAAAGGTGCATCGTTTAACATTTCTGGTGGAGGATCTGTCAAACGCTTTTCTCCATGAACATTTTAATGCTTTGTTTCACAGTATGGCATTAAACCTTTCTATCTTCACGGATACCAAACCAGACGACGTTACAGGTCAGATCTGTGGAGAGGTGACCCCACTCACAGTCATAGCACCTTTTTGGGGGGTATTTTTGAGCTATAAAACCAGCTGTAATTGAATAAATGTAAGGTAGAGCTGTTTAATGTCATGTCAGAGCAATGGCGTATCCATAGAAACAACCAGGTGACCGATCCTCCACAAGAAAAGTTACGCAAGGCAGCTTTAAGAAAAGTAATTTTGTGTTGCAATAAGAAGTAATTAATTAAAATGGATAACAACATCTCCCTGGTCTCTCTTTTGTAAAAGTCCATTAGTCTTGAGTTACTAATGGACTTCCTGGTTAAATACAGCTAAATAAAGCTGCACTATGTAACTTTTCTACTTCCTTCCTTTCCTTTCTTCATGTAGATATCATGGTTTTGCCTAGAATGTTCCACAGTTGGGCGTTAAACTTACGTCTCTCCATGAAGATAAGCACCAATAAAAGCACAAATACAACTGCAATATAGGTAAGTTTAATGCCCTACTGTGGGACATTCAGGGCAATAGACTGAATTAAATTAAACTGTACATTAATTAAAAATATCAGCGTTCATTCACATAGTATTGATTAGTTATGTAACGAGCAGCAGAAGTAAAAGTAAACTACCCAGACATATTTTGAAACAAGTGCAAAAATCTGCACCAACTTTCAAACTAAACACATCTGAGTCAACACTGCTCATATCCTCATTTCAGTTCCAAGTCATTTTCACAGTACTGCAGTATTCAGCCCTCAAGAATGTTATTTATAGCTTGCAATCTCTAATCAAGTCATTCAGGGGAGGACAAACAAATAACAAGGTTTAATATTCTGGCAACATTTGATTTTCTTGGTTTCTGTTTGGCTCTAGGGCAAAAAATACCAGTCGAGTAGGGATGGGACAAGATCTCGTGAGACACAATCGGCACAAGTTTTAACTTTAACCCTGAGGTTTTTTGGGGTTTTTTTTCATGTTTTTCCGTTTGAATTGGATAACAAAATGGTACTGGTGAGTTACATTTTTTGAAAAGCAATAGTCCCAAAAAGCAGAGCTACAGTGACAATAAAAATATTAAGTAGTAAATTAAAAATGGAGAGGTCAAAATTTGGAACCGGATTGCACAATTTATTTCTTATATATAACGTCAAAATCTCATCTCATTCTCGTTAAATCCAATCTCGTTTCTCGTTTTGTGTAAATTGTATCCCCACCTACAGACTAGTACTTTTTCGTAATTACAGAACACCAGAAATTTCTAAATAGTTCTGTAACGATTTCAAAGCCTCACAATACGATACTTTCACAATACGAAATATATTGGGTTCTTTTATGGAGGAAAACCAAATCGTGAATATGCTACTTTTCTGTCACAATCCAAATAATTAAGATTTAAAAACGCTTCAAAAGACATATTTCAAGTTTGGACTGAAGCAAGGCAAAGGATCATGGTCTATGTAGTTCTCTCTCTGTTTTTATCTGCACCGCAACAATGATTTTAAGCAATGAAACTTTTAATTCGATATTCTGTGATTGTATTATGAAAAAATATACATATCATTTAAAGTCATTACGCACCTGTCCCTTGCTGAATCCTTCAAATCCATCGTTGACGGCGAACATCTTGTGCCCCTCGGAGATGCCCACCCTGACAGCAGAGCGCACCGCCGCGTTCATGCCCGCCGCCGGAGCGCCCACGTTCAGCACCGCCACGTTAAAGCTGCTCTGTGAGGACAGAAGGAAGACAAATGAAAAAACTTAGATGAAAACAATAAATAATGTCTAGATAATGTCATTGGGCACAAATAAAAGAGGAAAAGGAAACATAATTTAACATAACCAATAACAAAACAACTAGTAGCAATCTTTTTTCTTCAAATGTACCAATTGCGAACGGTGTTAATGGTCTAATAAATAAATAAATAAATAAATAAATACAAAAAAATACATAATTACTGAACACAAAATAAAATGTTCTTTTGAATCCCATTCATAAAGATTCCTTCCTGATTTGATTTGAAGGATTTAGCAAGGCAATTTTCCACTGTTGTTATAGCAAAAATGTAATTAAAACCAAAATATGATATCTTTTGAATGGGGAAAGGCCACACAAAAGCCTTCAAATCAGGAAAGAAACATTTACCTGGAACACATGAATACTGTATAACTGACTGTACAGTGATATGTTACTTATTAAATTCAAGGGCAGCCCACACATTTTTGACATTTTTTTGCCTCTGTCAGTATCGACATTGATATAGAAAATATGAATTGAATGCAGTTTGTGAATTACAGTCTGAAAAAGAAGTTATGCATTGAGATCATTTCATTAGAACTTATTAACTTACACTTATTAACATCTAACTATAGTTGTAGATGGTTCATTTGTCATGAATTTGTATTTATTCAGCCCTTATTAATGTCTAATTCCCCATAAGCTTATTCTGCTATTAGTTAGACATTTTCCTATTAATACACTCCTTATTACTGCTTATTAGCCATTTTTGTCTGAATTAAGTGTGAAGAAGAGACCACTTCAGAATAAGGAACCATATTTCATTTTAACTTGAGTCAAACTCATCATTTATTACAAAAGATCAAAACATATTTAGAGCTTAATGACTTAATTCATGGCAGCTGGACTCTATGAACACCTAATAAAGAGTGTTTTATTACACAAGCAAAATTTATTAAGTGCAAATAAGTATAAAATACATTTCTTGTGCTACTAGTCCTTAACAACCAAAAGTTTATTAGAGTCGCAATTCATGGAAAAAAATGGCTTAATATCAAACTAATAAGCAGTAATAAGGAGTGTACTAATAGGAAAGTGTTTGTAAATGTCTAACTAATAGCAGAATAAACTTATGGGAATTAGACATGAATAAGAGCTGAATAAATAACCAGTTAATGACAAAATAACCATCTACAACTATGATAATGTGCAGTTAGTTAAAAATAAAGTGGTACCGAAAAATGTCCTTGAACATTAAAACTTTGTGGCAGAACTATGGGCGGCACAAAAGACAAAACGTGTTTCTTTGGCCTCATTCATTTTCAGGACTTTATTTAATAACATTTTCCAAATACCAGCATCAGTAGGATAAAATGTTTCAATAAATACAAAGAGCTGAATGAAACACACAATATTTAATACAGATGTGGGTCGGCTCAAATAAATATAGTTAAAATGCAGATTTCTGTTGTAATGCAGTGAGTTCTTGGCTCTAGTCAGTAATACAAATGATCAACTTCAACATTTGAGCATTTACGTTTTCAATTTATTTTTATTGTCATTTATGTATTTATTTAATTATTTGAATAATAACAAAGTTCAGTGTGACCAACAGGGAAATCTGTCTCTTGGCTCCAGCTGAGATGATTACATCATCACATTCTAGAATCTGAAACAAACAGCCAATAGGAGACGAGAACCACATGTTATGTAATGCACTTTATGACATCACAGCGTTGAGACTGTGTAAGCCTCTCTCCTCGCTGCTGTTCCTCATTCGTTGACTTGCTTCTGAAGAGACAAGACACATTTCACCGAGAGCAAAGGTAGTAACTGTTTCACTGCAAACAAACCCATCACCTGTCAGAGACGACAATGGAAACTGCACAAACATACAGCATGGACAAGCTGGATGTCGACTACAAACATGTAGTTTCCGAAGTTTTTGAACTTGGGGCAAAACTTAAGTTGCCAGTTGAGTTTACCAAATTAAAAACAGAAGGCCCTGTCCATAAGGCCACATTCACCTTCAGAGTAACTGCGGGGGATTTCACTGGAGTAGGTGAGGGGCCTTCAGTCCCTGTGGCCAAAAGACTGGCAGCTCAGCAGGTGCTGCCTGACCTGCGGCGACTGCCTCTCCCTGACACAGTCCCAAAGAGGAAAAAAGAAAAACCAGGGTCTCCGCAAAGACACACCAGTGTTCAACGAGGATCAAAACCCCATAAGTTTCCTTAATGATCTGGTGTTTGTTAAGAGAGCGAGACCTCCTGTTTACACTGTGGTGGACGTGGACAGGACCACAGTGAACTGGATTTACCATGTGCAGTTAACATTTGGAGATAATACTGTGACTGCCAGAGGTTTCAGCGCAAAGGACGCTAAAAAGAACGCTGCAGCCCTCATCCTAAATGGGTTTGGGTACAGGTTTAAAGTAGAGGAACCACAGGACACAAACGTCTCTTCTGAAAACAAAGATGCACCTTCAGTCACCCAGGAAGACTCAAGTCACACACCCATGACTCTAGACCAGTCTTCATCAGCGGACTCACAAGTTCTGCCATCAGAAGGTGCTACTGAAAATGCACAGGAGGTTTCAGAGAATGTCATTTCTGCTGTGCAAGAAGCTGTTCCTCAGGATACATATGAAATGACCACAGTGAAAGTGTGCTCATTGTCACAACAAGATCCTGTGGATTCAGTTCTCCAGGAGCCCACACCTGAAATGCAGGACAGACCTGAGGTTTCTGAGACTGAGACACCAGAGGTAACAGATGTTATCAAAGTGGAGAACAGAGATAATGATGTTACCAACGTGGAGACACCAGAGATAATTGATGTTAGTGACGTGGAGACACGGCCAGTACCAGACAACACAGAGGAGATGAAATTCTTGGAAACACATGTTACTGTGGTGGATCTCTCCATTAGTGACGATGTACCACAAGAACTTCCGATGCTGTCTGGGATGGGAGATTTGGAGAGTCTGACCCCATCAGAGTTGGCACCAGTGTGCTCATTGTCACAACAAGAGCCTGTGGATCCTGTTATCCAGGAGCCCACACCTGAAATGCAGGACAGACCTGAGGTTTCTGACACTGAGCCACTAGAGGTAGCAGCTGTTACCGAGATAGAAACACCAGAGGTACTTGATGTTGATGTGGAGACACCAACAGTGGTTCCAGATGATACGACATTGGAGACGTCAACAAATGGTGTCCAAACTGAGCTACAGGTGAATCCACCAGAGACTCAGATCAAAAAAACAAAAACAATATTCACTGTTGTGATTGAACTGACCAGACTTGAGCCCATCTCCTCTCCTGTTGAACCAAGCACCATCAGTGAAGGAGAGACACCAAGTCAACCAGAGACAGTTTCTCCAGATGAAAGCAGCAGTTCACCTGTGCTTCAGTTTGGAACCACCGTGTCCTGCAGCCTGACTCATGCTTTAGTTAAGAAGATACTGCAGAAGAACAAAGTCTACAGTCGAGATGCATGCCACAACATCACCAACAGACTGGACACCAAGATCAAGAACCAGCTTATCCTGGGTCCAGATGCCAACATCAGCGACAACAAACGCATGAGAATTGGCAAAGGGGCGGCTAGACATCTAGAAAAAGATTATGGATCATCTGCCAATCTCCTGGAGGCAGCATGCAGCCCTGACAATGCAGAGTTTGAATCAGACGTTGTAAAATGTCTCAACGTGGAGATCAAGGTCTTTCAAAACCGACCAAAGTCAGCCTTGTCCCGCTTCGTCTCTGCTCTGAGTAGAGCCTTCACCATCACGAGTTAGGCTCCTCAACTCAATAAACAATAAACAATAAACATTATTTAAGCATAATTCAGTCTTTTCTCTTATATGTTGTATGTTATAATCACTGTTGGGGAAGTTACTTTAAAACTGTAATGTGTTACTGTCATTTCAAAGTAATTCGTACATTACAATATTACTGCATTTAAAATGTAAAACATTACATGACTATTGCATTACTCTCACCAAAATAACTGTGAAGATGCTGAACTTTTGTGCTGTATATGGACTGAACCAAGACTAAACCAAAACTGAATCAGAGCTGAACCCAGACTGAACCAGGACTAAATCAGGACTAAACCAGGACTAAACCAGGGACTAATCTTGGACTACAACTTGGAATCTAGGACTGCCCCTGAGAGAACCCTGAGTCTGTGGAACAGGGTGTCTGCAAGGCGTGATCGGGTGTCAGCTGTGGTTAGCGCTGTGGAGTGTGGAGTTCTGCGCCGGTTCTTTCGCTCGTGGTCACCCGACGGTCTACATGGGCGCGTCTCTGGCGTTTCATCGCTGCTGATATCACAATAATTTTAGCGAATTTGTATGAAGAAAAACCCACCACTTCAATCCAGGTTAAAAAAGCATTGTGACACACGTTACTGACATTTGTACTGAGTAAAATATTACTATTTTTTTCCCTGTAATGCCGTGACATTATTGCGTTACAGCAAAAAGCAATGCATTACAGCAATTTGTTACTTTTATAGCACATTACTCCCAACACTGAGAATTAATTGCCATTTTCTTGACACTTCCAGTATATAATGTCGAAAAACGTGTCATCTGCATAGCTTAAATTCATGTGTTTCAAGCTATGGATTTTGAATGGGGAAAGATCCTCACCGAGTCCTCACAAAGTTCTTCAAATCAGAAAAGAACTGCTTGTGAAACCCAGGAATAGGTAATGGCATTTGTGGATTACAGTGTGTAGTAGGTGATGGCACTGCGGTGATCAATAGATATTTTTAGATTTAGTCCAATTTATCTCAGGTCCAGTAAACACAAACTCAGAGTGTACACAGTTTGATTTCTCTCTGTGGGGATGAATCGATTCTCTGTGTCAGATCAGTGTGAAGCTCCCGCAGCAGAGACAAAGACCATTACCAAACGCTGCAGGCCTGAACATGAGTGTCTGTCTCTGTACATCAGTCCTGCGAGTTTGACATGTTTATCCTC